GTGTGTGCGTATATATATATATATATATATATATATATATATATATAGCCTATATACGTACATACATATAAGCTATGATTCAACAGCGTTTCAGAAATTACACAAAAGCTTAGCTTAGTTTGAAGCTCGCGAAGTCGCGTTCGCTGGACAGGTAACCATAGGTACAGTAAGCTTTCGATGCGTATCGGACTATATCGACAAAATATATGCTAAATATGATCATTTGTCACTTTATTACACATTTACATACATATCACACACACAAAAAAGTTTTGTTTAAAAAGTTCTCAAGATAATTCTTGAGATAGTTGCGAAGTTGACGCGACGCCTGATAGGCTAATACCAAAGACTGTAGAATACCTTATATAATATGCCTTAAAAGGACTTTGATAATACTGACAAAAATTATTTGAAAATTTAGAAATTAACTGAATAGTTGTGCACACTGACTCATTCAATTAATTTTGCTTGGTAAAATATAATTAGGCAGTGTCATAACAGTCAATTTAATCATCCATCACTCTAGTGTAGGCGTTATGATTGTTCATTACAGTTGCATACTGATAATGGCTTTTCTTCCCCGCGCTGAACAGCCTACATGTAGGCAGGATCAAGTATTTGAGAAGGGCTCTTGATTGTCGTGAGATCATTCGTCGTCTGTCCAGTGGCTGCAGTTGGTCGCATGAACGTTTCCCCCCCAGACTCAAGACTAAAGGATGAAATGAGGTGCAGAGCTGAAGAGCTGAAGGAATGGGCGAGTAAAGACAGACGAAAGACGCACACGGAGAGCGCTGTGAGCCATCTGACTGACGCTACGACAAGATCCGAGTGAAGTCTGACCATCACAAGACGCGCGAATTTGGATCACATTTAGATCAAGCGGATTTCATTGAAACGAATGGTGTGAAAGGTAAGACTACTGTTGGATTCCGTCTGTTAGATTCTCTCGCTTAATTCCATTATCTGATATGCGTTTGCTAAACAACAATTCGAGAATTATTCAAGATAAAGTCTAGAAAATATTATGCGATATATTTGTTTTGCTACTTTTCTTTGTATTATGCATTTTCTTGAATTTATCTATAAGAGAATTTAAAGTATAATTTTGGAAACCCATTTTTGTTTAATGAACCCCTTACACAATACACTTCAAAGTGTGTTTAATTGCACACACACACACACACACACACACACACACATACATATATATATATATCATTTTCTCGTAAAATATTTCCCCAACTGACGTAGCCTAAAGCAGAACGGATAACTTTAAAATGTTCTTAGAAACAATCATAAAATAGTTTATATAGATAAGTATGTTTTCTATTATTAATATTATTATATAAAAGTATATTATTATTATTATTATTGCTCGTACAATATTCTATCTAAATGAGAAAAAAACATCTTAGGGATGTCCCAGACACCACAGACACCAAAAGAATATACTTGTATCCAGGGCCGTTTCTAGCCCCCCCCCCCAATTATATTTATATATATATATATATATATATATA